GTGGACTTAACGATGAGAACGCGTTGTGAGCGTTCAACAATTGACAAAACGCGTTCCGGCTGTTTAACAGTTACCAGAACGCGTTGCGAGCGTTTAAAAACAGCCAAAACGCGTTCTGTGCGTTCGAAGCCAGCCAGAACGCGATGTGGCCGTTTTTTCCGGCCACTGAGCGTTTTCAGTCTTCGGGCCTAACATCTATAATATATGAATAATACAAAGATTAATATGTAATGTGAGGCTGTATTATTTAAACAACTCTTTATGACTTTATAGTGGCAATTAGCACTCAAGATCATCTGCTGCCGTTGGGAGGCAATGGATGTATAATTAGGGAATTCGACATACCCAAAATTTTAACCCTAATTAAAAACAGGTATATGGGAGGGAACTAGGCATTATCCGTTATATCTATTTGTTTTTAAGTTTTTCTTGACACCATACTCTAATTAACCAAATCCTTCATTCTAACCAACTTTTAACTAAGATAACGATTCAATCGGTTAATTATAGGAAAAATCACAACTCTATGGAGTTGGTTAGGATCATTATTATGACTTAGTTAAGAATGTAGGCAAAATTGTAGCGTTGTACGAAACTTTCAGCTATCATTTCATTCATTATACGTTTAATTTTAACAATTCATCTTTTTGATTTCTTTTTAAGTTTCCCTGCTTCTTTATTGGTTATCTCCAAATGAATTTAGTATGTTGCTGAAGGGGTGTTTCTGTATCTGTTTGCAGTCTGCTTTGTTTTATCCTATCGTATAAATTTACGGTTCGTTAAATTTACTCATTTAAAATTGTAAATGCAGCTACCTACGCTTTCTACATTTTATCACAACTAGTGAGTTAAAATGTAATCAATTATGTAAAATTTCAAAGCATGAGTAGATACTTGGTGCAGCTTAATCAAATGAAATTATGCTTATCCCGGTTTAAATTTGAAATGTTCATTGTTAATTTGTGGATAGTGATATCAAACATTCGAGTTGGATTAAAATTATTTCAAATCATCTAGACCACACAAAAAAATTAAACAATTAGTTGCTGCTCTATAAAATTGAAAAGTGGTTATGTATAGCTAATCAACTCTGACAATAAGTTATTTTTATTTCTTTGTTTGTTAACAATCTGAAAAATATAAATTGTTTATAAAAAATAAAGTTGAAAAGTTAATTTTTCAAATTGTCGTGAAGTTTAACGTGAAAATTTAATACTAAAAATGGAGAAATATCTGTGGGTCTCTATAAGCTACATGATGTTAAATGTTACTTTCTAAAGACAGGAATATTTAAATTTTAATTCCATTAATAGTCTTTTTTTCACTGTTATCAAAAAAGGTATTGATTAATATTAAGTTCATTTTAATTTCACCGTACATGAAAATTCAGCCAGGCTATTTTATATTCTGCAATGTTAGGGGCAAGTAAATCACTTATCACGAGAAATGCTGGATTGTACCTATGCCATGTTTTCTATGATGAAAATACTACCTATTAATATTAGACAGTAATTAAATTAACTGGTAGTTAGACTTATATTTATTAAGTCAAAATAACGTAATTCGTATTAAATACGTCCCAATCTATTTTTTTTTTAATTATTTCATGCATTCAGTTCAACCTTGCGATACTATCTGAAATATCTTAAAAGAATTTCTTAATATTAGAATGTTAAAAGAACTTTGGTATCCTAAAGAAAATATTATTATACTTTCATTTAGCTGTTATTAATTAAACATATTTGTTGGTGTTTTATTAATGATAATATGATAAAGTTTCTGTATATATCTATATGGTGGAAATTATAAATCTTCAAACGTGTATTCGAACGTCTTTCACATTTGATTGCCGTCAGTTTTGTAGGTTTCCATTTGTACGGTTGAATGCGAGCAAATTTTATATGGTTCATCTGTAGTCAGAAAGGTAGGTCAGCAGCGCAAAAATTTTATTCATACATAGACACATATATATATTTAAATATATGTATATTCAGAGCCGTTATTGATTGTTGCTTTTGGCATACAAATATATCTGCAGAAGACAGGCGGGAAAGAAAGGATAAATTAAGTAAATTTTCTAAAATTACTCAAAAGGTTAGGCGGTTTCTAAACGAAGAACATAGGATAGAAATTGTTTTTATGTATATGAGTTTCATTTTATAATTCTGCAACGGAAATGAGAAAGACAAAATGGTGACATTCAACTGTACGCAATCGCTAAGCGATATGGAAATTTGGGCGGCGGATTGGAGGTACTCCATACGAGATCTGTTCAAATAGTATCACGAATTTTGTCTTTTTTCAAAAATCATTTATTTATTCTTGAATAATTATTTTGTCCCCCTCAAAGTAATCTTCATCAGATATTATGCACTTGTGTCAACGTTTTTTCCAATCCTCGAAGCACTTCAAAAAATATTTTTTGTTCAGCTCCTTTTTCGATCCCATTATTATTTCCTTAATCGTAGCGTAATGTCCTCCTTTCATGGGCCTCTTCAGTTTTAGGAACACGAAAAAGTCACAGGGGGTCAAAGCTGGGGAATACGGTGGCTGCGGCACTATTAGTGTGGTGTCTTTGGCCAAAAATTCGCGCGTTTCTGGCGGATTGTAAATTGCACATATCTTGCAGGTAATATTCCTTGTTGACCGTTCTGCCCTGTGACAGAAACTCTTGATGCACCATGAAGAAAAATGTAAGCAAAACCTTCATATTCGACCTAACTTGGCGCGCTTTTTTCGGTTTTGGCTTGTGCGGCAGTTTCTATTGGGATGATT